ACCATATGTCCATGCATCTCTATGGTTCCCAAGCAGAACATAGCGATCAGATTCTTCCCGTCCCTTGATAATGGCAAAAACGTTTTCAATGGTAGCCACTTTCATTTCTCCCTGAAAAACCAAATAAGCCAGACTGAAAACATGCACAGAAAACTTACAGCTTGCTAGTAGTTGTTAAGATGAACATCGATATGTTGTCATAATCAAAAACATACAACAACAAACACGAACAATAAACTGTATACCATATCCTGGATGTTTAGAAAGACTTTCATGTTACAAGCTTTTGGTTAACGTTTACCTAGACACACATTAGACTTGGCCAAAAACCTGAACTTCAAAAAATAACTCAACATTTCTCTATATATTTTCTCTATCGTATTTTAATTTAAGTACAAGGTCAATTTTTTTTAGACAAATAATTAGTGAATTTGACTATTCTACCACATAAATATTATGTGTTTTCTGTTAAATATTAAAGAAAAAAATTTAAGTTGACAATATATCTAAGTTGATCTCTTCTTCTTAATAATGCAAACGAGAATTTAGTTAGAATACACATCTAATCATAAGTGGTTGCGTATGATAAAAGAGTTCACTTTTGTCATAGTTGTCTTAAAAATTATATTTAGAGTGATATTAGTTAGTTGACTATAAAAGACTTTCAGAAAAAATATAACATACAAGTTACAACTATCAATATATAATAAATTTCTTTATTTTTATAATAATTATTACTTTAAAGTTCGTACCTAAAATAACTGACTTGAAATTTTTTTCACTCTCGGTGCATCATGGATACACGAGAATTTTACACTGTTAATCAATCAGAATTCATAGTAGGTATAAATTTAGAAACGAACATACTTAGACAGTGTAAAAATTCTAAATTTCTTCTCCAGAAAATTAATGGCACAAAACTTGAACTAATCTAAAATTTTACATGCATGCATGGACTAAAATATGAAGAAGCAAAAGAAAATTACCTGATAAGTGAAGTTGAGGATGGTGGGGCCAGGACCAACATTCGTAACCTTGGAGGACTTTAGGGTACCCGTCCAATCAGAGGGCAGAGGAGCTCCACCAAGCGAGACCAAGATCCTCTCAGCAGCCTCAGAAGACAAAGGCATGGATGGAATTTTAGGAAACCTTCTCAAAACCTCACTATCATCCAAACCCAAACTCTCGCCGCCATCCACCCCACCCCACCCAGGACTCAGCGGGTCCCCAATCCCCCCTCTCATCACGTGTCCCCTCTCAAAACCTCGGGGCCACGTGTCCCCCTCCCTGAACACCACCGCCGCCGCCGCACCATGCCTCTCGGCCGCCTCCACCACCGCCCCACGCCCCACTCCCCCGCCGCTCCTCGCCACCGCAACGCATCCCGCCACCCTCACCCCCGCCGCCGCCAGCAACCGGAAGTCCTCCTCCCGCCCGTAGTTCACGAACACCGCCGCAGCCCACGCCGACCCCGACGGCGAGTACGCGTGGTACGGCGCCACCACCTCCCCGTCCCCCTCTCCCTCCCCCAACTGAAACTCCAAACTCGAACCGTCACCAAAATGAGCCGAGAGAGAGGAGCGCAGCGGGTAGGACAATAGCACGCGGTGCTTAGCGGTCCTGGTTCGGAGCCCGAGGCCGGTGAAGTGGTTGAGCACGTAGCGCGCGGTTAGGGAAGCGGGTTTTGTTCCCGCGAGGTGAGGTTGCACGGTGAGCCCGCGAAGGTAGTTGGAGATCGTTGCGTTGGAGGAGGACGAGAGGAACACGTGGCCGAAGCGCGAAGCGTCGAGGGAAGTGGCGGAACGGAAAGGGAAATGTAGGGAATAAAACCCCACCACTCCAATGACGATTACCGTGACGAAAGCCACCAACGGTGACGGCTTCGCCGCGAATGCCGTTACTGGTTTTAACCGAAACTGAAGCATTCTTTGTTGGTGAGTGAAGTGGTTGCGGACGGAGTAGGAGACTCTGTTATGACGGTGGAACGGAGAGTTTGTGTTAGTTTAATAATGGAGTTCGATGGTTATTGGTGTTCGGTTTTAGTTTTTCTGTAATGAAACATGGTAGTTCAAATAATATACTATTACTATTAGTTTTGGTTTTATCATGTCTTTTACTTTATTTTCTTTTCTTTTATCGGGTTCATATTTAGCTGTTGTAATAATTTATATTTTTTAATCTAATATTTATTTATTTATTTTATGTTGTTTTCTAATTTAAAAAAGTGATCCGTTAAAGAAAGAAAAGAAAAATGAGATGTAAGAGAATATAAAACTTTGAAGTCATTATAAAATATAAATGAAACTTGAGACATGAAAGAAAATATGTAGATAAAACAAAATAAATAAAATGGTTCAACCTAGGTTAAGAAAATAAATCATCCTTGTATATGTAATAATATAAAATATTATTACTATATATTATTATTGAAAAATATATTTTTTTTATTTCCGTATTAAAAGAATAATGGTGGTTATATAATAAATAATGGATAATTTGTAATGTGACACTAGTACAGTAAGCGAAAACGACAACGATTATTTTTACATATAGGTAGCGGTTCTAGAATCGAGGCATATCCAAGCGAAAACGACAATGATTATTTTTATGCCTCGTTCCCCCTGAACCGAGGCGGTATGTCCCCCTCTACTGGCTCGGTTGTAGCTTGAACCGAGACATTAGAGCCCTTTTTTTTCTCTCATCTGTCAGCCTTTTTGCTTCGGGTGTGGCCATAACTGAGGCCATAAGGGGCTTTTCTACCTTGGTTTTGACCTCAACCGAGGCATATACCCCTGTTTTTTTCTTAAAATGAGGTTTGTTTTTGAAACATTCTCAACTACAGAAATAGACTTAAATATATTTTTATAACCAGAACAGTTCAGAATAATCCAGAAACGTATATTTTGAATGAAAATTATATTAAAACATAAATATATTCAATGGAATCATAAATCAACTTCTTAGAAACATAAATCAAGTTTGAAGCATAAATCAATGCAATATACAAAGTTAAACTAATAATAATGTAGAAAAGCATAAAACAACTTAGAAACATAAACTCAGAACTTATTATATCCTAATATCTACTACATACTATTGTATAAATGAATTACATATTTAGCCAGTGTTTTCCTCACAAGTTGAAGTGACTTCTCTGAAATTGGAGCAATCCTGGAACATAGTTTTATGTCTCGGTTTTGCCTAGAACCGATGCAGTAGCACCCTTTAAGCATCAGTTTCGGGACAACCGAGACATATACGTTAGTTTAAACTACGAAACTATCACTGCTCTTTTATATATTTTGATTTCTTTAAAATCGAAGTGAATATAGTTCTTTCTAATCCCTGTGATGTGGTATGTTTTAGAAAGTGAAAAAAAGATTGAGATTGTGAGAGAGAAATAACAGTAAATAGTTATTGTAACCTACAAAATATGTATATTATTATAGTTATAAAAAATAATTTGTTGTGTATTTGAAAGAATAGTTTCTTATAGACTGTAAGGCGGTTGGTTATTCTTAAGTGAAGAACTTGTGCAGAGAAACTGTATATTTACGTGTTTTATTAAATCAAACGTGATTTTAAGTCATTGAAATTATTTAAAATGAAATTAAAATAGTTAGAAAACCGCATATATTTTATATAATGATATAGATTATTATTATTATTATTAAGTGAAGTTTGTTTTGTGAGGTTGGAAGTTGAAGTAAATGAATTTCGTATGATGAAGGCTTACATGATCTAGATTCAGTTATCTGTATGGAAATAGAAAAAATCGTACTTGAATGGAATTGCCTATTTCCAATTAAAGAAATTTCTATTTTTTCTAGAAGAAAGGGTTCCTTTCGAGTAAATAAATTATATGTATAATTTAATAAACAGAAAGTGATAAAAAGTAATTAGTAATGTTAGGTATATTATATAAAGGTGATTATTTGTTTATGTGTTTATTGTTTAATATATTTTTAATATATATATATATATATATATATATATATATATATATATATATATTATTTAGTTGTTTTGTGGTGATTTTTAAGTTCTTCACTCTCTTCCGTATTTTTTTTCTTATTTTCAATGAATTCAATTTATGTTGATTTTAAAATTTAGATTTCCTAAATAATATTTTAAATTTAAATAAAATAACAAAACAAATATATATTAAAAAGTTACTAAATTTGAAATTAATATTTAAAATGCTAAACATTACTGTAATAATTAAATTTTAACATAATAAAAAAAATGTAATATAATATAATAAGTAATCATGGCTGCTTAATAATTCTTTGGAAAAATAGCAGTGAATTTGGTCTCTATTAACAAACAAGCCCAATATAAAATACACTTATTCCTTCTATCAGTTTTAGCAACACATATAATACTCTTTTTTACTGTACTTCTTTTTAATACACAGCTTATTAAAGTAGCATAAAATATTAATTATTCGACTTTTATAATATATTATATATTCTATTTTTCTTCTTATCAAATTACATAACTCATAACTTTTTTTAATTTTATCTATATTTATAGTTTTATAGTGTATATGAACAACTTTTCCCTAATTGACATCATTAATAAAGATTCCAAGTCCTTAAACCTTGGTTTTACTTTTCTATTTATAAATATTTCAGTTACAAAATTATATATCTACTTTTCTAAGATATTATTGAAAATGATCTTAGAAATCAATTGGAGAAATTGATATGGAAAAGGATTTTACATATCAAATGTCTCTGGTGAATGAGTGGGTTTTTTATGAACATTGTCAAATATAATTAGTGCATAATGTCACTCGTGATAAACTCTCCTAACATCAATAATACTAAATATTGTTTGACATAAAGTTGTTTCTAACTTCCACATTTATTTTTTAATTCTCACTCTTTATTAGAAACAATACGTTAAAATAAATAAATAAATAAAGATAATAATAATAATAAAAAAAAAAAACTATTGGAGCAACTCCGGTCAAAGAGGATAAACAATCAATCACTCTTTACTACAATTCTAACTTCATTACATGATCATATAATTACATGAATGATTTTACTAATACTTGTTGTCATTGTGTTGATGTCCTTTTTTCTTTTATAAATTTCAAGTATATATTTATTGTAACATATTTGATTACGAGTATTGAAACAAATATTTAAATAATTATTAGAATTCTTTGAGTATTTGAAACAAATATTTGATCTTTAAAACACTTGAAGCAAATTTTTGCTATGACCTTCCAATATTTGTAGAGTTATTCTAAATAATTTTTAATTTTTTTCTCATTACTATATTTTTATGTATCTTTATTTTGTTTGTATCTATTATTCAGATGGAAAGAAAATACAAATCACACCTCATGAAAAATAAATGATATATTTACTTTTTACGTATTTTATACATGTAATATTATTGGGATAACATTTTATTAAATTCAATTTTGGAAGACTTCCGTAGGCCATTCATATAATGGGCAAATAAAAGAAGATTTATTTCATGTGAGTAATAATCAGAAGTGAAATAAACATTTATTGTAATTATAAATACACAATGAGATTCGATTAAATTTCCCTTGATGTTTATAATTTGTATTTTTATACTAAATTTACAAAATATTGCATTAATATATATATATATATATATATATATATATATATATATATATTTATTCTACTTAAAAAGATTTTATTGTAAAACAAGATAAGATTAGGTTAGCATTGGGTATTTTTGGTAAAGGGAATAAAGAGATTAAGATAAGTTTATGTTAATATATTATTATTTTTTTTTATTTAAAAGCCTACCAAAATAGAAAATATTTATTTTACATAAAAAAATGTCCTTTCGATTTCTGTTCAAACCTAACTCCTAAATAAATTTTTAGATAAAAATTAGGAGAGTATATAAATGGTAAAAAAAGGTGTCAAAATAAGTTATAAAGTTGAATAATTTAAAGTTGTATGTTCTTGCCTTTTGACTCTTATTTTTCTTCTATTTATAACCCTTTCTTTCTATGATTCGTTATTCTTTTTATATCTTTTTCATCTTTGTATAACAACTCTTCTCATATTTATACATAATATTCTCATATTTTTCAGCTATTCCTTTTGTTATTTATACATAGTATTCTCATATTATTAATATTAATTATTGTGGGTACTTAATTATCGTTACAGGATTTATAATATGATATTGAATTGTATAATATAAAGTTCAAATCACATGTTTTAATTGCATCGGTTTAATGATTATTTATATCATGCATATAATATTATTAAAACAAATTAGATATGCATTTACCTTATGCCTAATGTACAATTTGGTAATGATGTTGTATTTTAAAATATGTTTTTTTATGGTTGAATGAATATTTCTAATTAGACTCAAAATTGATATAATTCTTACAAAGTCCAATGGTTAAAAGATTATATATGTTCTCAATTGAAAATAACTCAATATTAATTAATAAAGAATGCTAAAAATCTCATATTAATTAGAGATAAATTTAAATTATATAAACAAATATAAATTTTATCTTACAATTAAATTCAATTTAAATTCTACTTTTTAAGTCTCATATTTAAATGTTATATCTTAACAAATACTTTTTAAGTCTCATATTTAAACGTTATATCTTAACAAAAAATTATATTGAAAATTTTACTACTATAAATAAAATTAATTTAAAATATATAAATGAACCCAAATTTTATTTTATAAATTAATTTTATAAAATTAAATTAAATTTAAAGTTTTCTTTTTAACAATAAAAGGTTAATAGAATATCACAAAAAAATATACATTATAATAATTAATGATCAATTTTTTCTTTTTCCTGTAAAATCTATCTCCATGTCATCAGTAACATTTTGATCACTCCAAATATAAGAAATCAATTTAACAACGAAAAAGAGTAACAAGTTTTCATCACTCCAAATAATAAATTCACCCTGATAATTTATTATTAAAATTTAAATACTTTTTTATCACTAATTCGGTACAAATTAATATTCTATTGTCGCTAAATTATAATTTACAGGTCACAAAAATATTTGGTGGCTAATAATATATTCATGAAACA